TTAATTTTCAAATTCCCACCATTTTTGACAAAAAGGAGGTAATCTACACTCTGCTTCTGCCCATTTCATTTTCTTTAATTTGGAAGATAAGTATGAAAGCGTGCCAAAGAAGTTAATTCTCCGTTAACAGTTTATTTTCTGGCACCCCGATGCCTTTGTATATGAAAAACAGATAGAAATAAATGCTGACTGAATCACAACAACATAGTCGCAACCGTCCCTAAATTTAATGAAAAGTAAACATATGAAGCATAATCTAAAAAGTTTATTAGTTGTCAGAGTTGCTTCACGTTATCACCCCTCCCTGAGTTATAAAATAACAGTTCTGTACAAGATGAGCAGAATATAAAAAAATTAGAAATCAATCACTGCTTACACCCCTACTTATGCTTCTCCCCCCAAACCCCCCAATTCAAGTGTTATTGGTCCTTTCATCAGTTAGTCTGGAAACGTAAAGCATATCTCTGTTACGTAATATTAGTAAAAGCATTTCTTTAGGACTCCTTTCCAGCATAGATGATGGACTCTGACATGCTGAAATTGCTGGGAAAAGCACCGCAGTAAGTATGCTGCTAACTGATAGATACTGCTAGGAAAAAAACAATAAATACTAAGTAGTGCGCAACTCCCTAGAAGGCTATGTATAACCACCAAGAAGTTAATTTACAATTTTATCATTTAATAGTATAGTTTAAATAGGGAAATAAATGTACGAGGCATGCTGCATTTCTAACAAGAAGCACTGATGACGACATGCAGCTCAACACCAAAGCTTCAGAGATTGTGCTAATGCCATATTAAGCTGGAAGGTTATGTGCTTGATTTATTTTGCAAGTAATAGAAGCTAGCCTTAATGGAGTCACTGAAACTAGCAAGAAGGACCAATGCACAGTAGGATGGCTATAGCACTGCTAAAACCTAATTGCTACTTTCTTAGATTTGCCGCTTTCTAGAGATCATATCATCGTCAAAAAGAGGGGAGAAAAGGAATATCACATAATGGGGAAAAAACAATAATCAAGAAACTCAACACCCACTGACTCACTGTAATACAGACTTTAGTCCTTCAAAAGAATGACACATGGATTTAGGGCACCTTGGTGGGTCACCTGAACCTGAAAGCACACGTTCATTTCGTAATTTTTCCTCACCTAGAAGCTGACCTTCAATAGTGCTTATAATGTTTCATAAAAGCAAACAAGAATAATAAAAAATTGAACTAAACTAAATCTGCTTTAGTTCTACTCCATTTTATTTGCCAGCAAATTTTAGATGACATTTCAATCTAAAGTATCTTGAGCCATCTACCTACCTCCGTACCTGAGAAGACACATGACGGTACAGAAAAAAATTCAATTTAGAAATTCAATGATTCCCTCGCTTCTTAAGATTTATTTAACTTCTTTCGTATATGTAAACAGGAACTACACCTGACTGCAACTAAAACAAATAATAACTTCAGATATGGTTTGAAAGAGAAAGAGGGAAATTTTTCAATGATGATTCTGTTACACAAGAATAGTTAAAAATTTTATTAAATTAGATGGCACGCTATGATCTGGACACGTTTTCAACATCTTGCATCTTTTATATGACCTTTTCTATGAGTATATTGACATGATTTTTTATGACCACTCTTTCATCAACCAAGAACAAGATTTGTATGTTTTCTACTCTCTGAAGAATGGATTCAGGTAAGATTCATTAGCAAGACCTAACCTTGCCAAAGTAATGGCAATTTAACATTGATTTAAGAACTAGTTTCATTAGATTCTCCTACTACAGTAACTCTAATACAAATAAACACAAGGCTGAAACTAGGGCAAAAAAAATCCAAGAAAACTTTAAATAATCATGGTCAGTGTCATAGCATGGTGATATCTGCAAAGTTACATGACTGACAACCCAAACTACACAGTAAAAATTCTGTATTTTCCCAGTCTTTTCAAGATATATAAATTAGAATTACTAACTAGATTCAATAGCAGAAAATGCATGTTAATAGCAAGGATTTCTAAGCAACATATTGCTCCAGGAAGAAAGGTGACAGGAAAAGGCAATTTTAAACTATGTGGCAATGGTTTAGAATAGCTAATTGTAACCTTTTTTTCTTCTTTTTTAACAAGTACATTTTGTTAACTTAGAAGCTGTTTAGTTGGTAATCAATCAACAATGTCTGAAAACTAGGATGCAGCAAAGAAGTGGGACTCGTGGAGAAGTGTTGCTCTGCAGAGCACTTTCTTTTTCTCATTAAGAGACAGCCTGCATGTTTTTTTTCTCATTTAATCCATTCATATACGTTTATCATCTCATTTATGTACATTAAAATCCAAAGTTCTTGTATTGATTTTATTATCCTATTTATTTACAATATCCGAACATAGAATCAGTGGATTAGTGAAGAACTTTTCTCCTTATTTCTGTATCTCCTCAGCTACCTCTAGTTTCTGCCAGAACAGCACAGACAGGTCATGCAAGGCAACAGAAAGACCATCCGCAACGGTGTAACAGCAGTACAGCCTCCCTCAAATCCAGCGTTGTGAGAAGACTTGGAGCGGACCAGCTGGTCCTCTCCTGAAAAGAAGAGAATCAGGAAGACAAGGCCAAGGCCAGAATACCCAAGAGATGCACTAAATCAGTGTAATTTCTGCAGCAACCTCCCACTGGCAGGACTCTAGAGCTTAAAATCTGTTTTCCTTGGCAAGTGCCACAGTGAATGGGTCTATAATCCCGCCAGGATTGCTATCACCCCTACCCTTCAAGTGAGTATTTTTACTGACGCTCTTGCCATTTGAGATGAAGGGAATAAATGAAAGAAGGCAAACCATGAGGAAATAAAAGTCACATTCAACAACTACTGATGTACCAATCCATGAAAAACATACTAAGTTCAAAAAGGCAAAACCGATGCAACTAGAGGCATGTAACTTTTATACCTTCACTAACACAGATAATCAGTTCTGCCAGGAAGTGATCTAAGAGGAAGAAAAGGAGTACAGGCTAAGGCCAAGTTTCATTTGAGTAGGGGATGTTTTCCTCTGCGACTCAGAGAAAACAGGCAACTCTGCAAGAATACCTCTAATACCGCCCTACCAATGTAAGTACAAGGTGGAAACACGTAACAGTCCAGGAGCAATGAACCACTTATCTCTTTTGCTCCCTCCTTCACCCTTGACAGCAACATCACCTAATGTGTTCCCGTAAAGCAGACAGACAGTCCAAATATACAGAGGACACAAAAAATCTACAACATACTATAGAATTTGGGGAATGTCAAGGAGAAAGATATGAATCTATTTCCCATGCCTCAGCATACACCTTTTTCCAACATGTCAGTATAGAAAACATTTCAATACTTACAAGCAGAAACCATAACGTGAACACAAAGTATTAACAAAAAAACCCCCAAAACCCAAGAGATCAGCACCTTACAGAAGAGCGTCTGCACAAGGTCAGACAAAGAAGCCGCAGCAGTTCAGCATCTGTCTTAAAAAGCAGGCGCCTGTGAAATTGTAGGAGAACGGGGCCAGCACAGAGCATTACTTGCCCAAAACGCTATTCCCAACACCCAGTGATTTGGATGTCAGAAACTTTCTGAGTCAGAGACCATAAAAGCTAGCTGAATCATCTGTATGCTAGGTATTCAGCTTTAATTACCTTGCTGTGTAAAAGCAGGTAACAGTCCTCATTTTTACATTTTAAGTACTTTCACAAAAAAATAAAAAATTATAAATTCGCTACTCAGTTTTCGCCCAAGATATCCAGAGCTGTATTGCATATAATCAGCTTTTTGCTAAAAGGAGCATGGTAAGCCATTTGGTTAACTATCACAACAAATCATTATTAATAAAGTTCTGCTAAATCCAAACTTTAGATATCTTAACAACTCACCCAAAACTTTTTTCAAGTTCATTAACCTCTAGCATATTTTTTTCTCTAAATACAGGCTGTTAGAGTGGTACTTTCTTCCATCTGTTAAACAACCGTGCTCTGAATTACAGAGGAATTTAGCTGAATAAAAAAAAAATGATTCACTGAATTCAATAGTTTAGACAAGGTTCTATTTTATTTCCATTTACTCAATGGCAAAATTCTCACAAAGCCCAAAATGTACAAGAGTTGGATAAACACACAGACTTCTGTTAAGTGATAAAAATCTGAGCTTTTTTTCCCCCCTTGAAAAATTTAAACTAACTTAACTTTTTTCTTTAAAGACTGAGCAAAAGCTGCCAGATTTGTTTCTGGATGCTCACTCCTGAGGAGAGCAGGGTGGCAGAACAAAACACTAACCACACACACAACCAGAAGTCTGCAAACTGTCAGACAATAGCATTTTCTGAGGCAAAAGGAAACAATTCTGCCGTTACCAAAACGCAAGCTGCAAGGAACAATTGGCATGTCAACCTTCTGGAGTTTTCTAGAAATGTGTAATGCGTAGTACACTAAATAAAATTGGGAACTATACCCAAGGATGGAATAAACTCATCACACATTGCATTGTACTGTATCTTCACTGAGGAAGTGATTTAAACACCCTCCTCACTTACTTGAGCTTACCTCCTATAGAAATGATTATGATCATTTATATGTTCCTGGTCATTCTGCTGCAGAAATTTCAGGTTATTAATCTGAGAACTCTTATGCTTAAAAGGTGCCGCTGTACACTAGTCTTAAACATTTCAAATATCTTTGTCCTACACAGCAACGACAAGAAGAATGCTTCCACAGTGTCCCCTGCTCTTCTTCCTGCCCAGAAGCATGCCACCTCATCAGCAGGGCTGAACACTGCCTTCTCTACTACACTAGAAATTCACTTCTATATAGTTCATCACTCACTTTGTAGTTCACAACTCACTTATTCCAGCCTCCGCTTCTAACTTGACTGAGGGTTGCCCATGCAGACAATGACTACAAGGATCTACAACAACTGTGGGGAAGCCTGTGGCAAAAAATTAGCAGAATGAAATTGGTACTACAGCATGTAATAGGATAAGGGGTACCTGGTGAGGTGCAGTTGGTGTTCAGATTTACTCAGCAGTTCTGCCAGTTTTAGGCACTCCTCTCTGGCTCCTGTCACATCCTGCTGGGCTTGTTCCAAACGCTGTTTGCTTCCATTCAGCTCTAATCCCAGTTTTTCTATTTTCTTAGAAAATTATAGAACCAAAAAAGTATATTTAAGAAATGGAGATACACTTGAAGACAAAAAAATGTAATCAGAGCACCTGAGAAACAATGCACACTTCTGTTTTAGAACAAAAGTAGTTAGTTGATAAAAACTGCAAAATAAGCAAATCAGAGTATTTGAAATTACATTCTTATGAAAAGTCAAAATGCATATCATGTTTAAATACACTAATACACAAGCAGTGCCATTGTCTTCACGTGGTTTAAGAGTTACAGGAATTTAAACATTTTCTGATTTTCTCATGTGAATGCTTCCATATTTGTGTCCTGAATTCACTGCATTAGAAAGCCATAAAGGCAGTGGAATAGTGGTCATCCTCAGAAGCAGACTGACATAGGATAACTCTTGTGGTCATTTATTTTTCTTTTTTTAATACCTTTTTATCACATACGCAACGACAAGAGGGCAGTTAGATTTGTTATCTAATATTACAAATGATAACAAAGGTAATTTTGTGATTGTAACATTATTGAAAAGAAGTAATTTATGACTTATATCTGAACTCTAATCCCACCAGCTGCTGTTAATCCCACTGTTTTAGTAACATTAGATCTTATATGTCAACATAGAAACTAAAGTTGATGAGTCTATTAATTTATTTTACAACAGTCTAGTTTGCATGACCATCATCTTTGATTTCAGTGAAGCATAATAGACTTATGATATCTCAAAATGTACAGATGAATATAGATATTCTTAAAAATAATATATTTTACTGTAAGTCCATATGTAATATACAAGTACCTGTAGGAATACATCTGTAACACAATGCTATACTTTGTCCTAAGAATGCTTTTAAGAAGGCAAATGGAGTACAGAATAAGCTACAATGTAATTTTAACATGTAGTAACTGTTCTGCACTAACTCCCAACATAAATATTTATTTGTTATTGGGGCTGGAGGGAACTTGCATGTTTTTCAGTCAACTAAACTGTGAAAGGTCATTTGTAGTATAGAATAAAACTGTTCGTATAAGAAGTTAGTGCTGAATAGCTATTATACTTGAAATTCATACCATGTCTTACTTGTAATAATTTCCTCATGTAGATAAGAATCTATCTTCTTTAATTAATGAAATTATTCATTCAAATATCCTACAAGAACAAATTATTGTAACTCTGTCCCAGTATTTACATTTGAAGTGCCTTTGCAACAATGTTGGTTTTTTTCCTCCCACAAAAATGTTAACTAAACTACTTACATTGTCATGATGTCAGACAAATACAGTCTCTTCATCCACAAAAACATTTCATAATGTTGGGTTTTCTAATTTTTAATTTTGTTAAGTACTTAACTGTACACTTCTCCCCCACAAGAATACTCAACAAGAGTTCATGAAGGAAATTTTGATTAGAACCTTGCTTTATCACATGGACTTCCTATCAAATTAAATCGATAATTCCAAGTTCAAATGCAAAGATAGTACATCTATATACAAAATCTTTAGTACTCTTTCCTTCTAAAGAATGTAGCGACCTATTTTAAAACCAGGTGTATAAAGATATTCAGTTATATATGCTTTGCATTTGTACTTATTTTCAGGGACTTTTGCATAAGTTAAATAGAACAGAAGTCTCAGTGGGTTCTCTATTCCTCTTAACAGTAGCAGTTCATAAATGTTATTCCTCCATCCACAGTAAGCAGAGACATGAGCTCTTCACTGTTAAAGACAGGGAAGTTTTGCAACATTCTTAAAATTTGCTTCAAAAATACGTCCATTCAGCATACCTTTAAACAAACCCAAACCACAAATTAGTCAAAAAACATCAACTAAGTATTTGAAAAAGCGCAACCACAGCTGAGAATATAAATACACTCTAGATCACTCCTTCAGGGAAAAGTTTCAAGGAACAGATGGGCTTTACACCATTGCCTCAAGTTAAACAGGCTCAGTCAGGTTTTGACACAGACCTACAGAAGGAAATGAATTCCAAGTGCAAGAACCTCTGGTGAAAATGTTTCATTTCCATTGGCCAGATGTTGAACCTTCAGGGCTGAACCCAAGAACACATCCATAGATTTCAGTTGTCATGAAAGTGTAGAGAGAAATTCTCAGACACAGAAGTGTCATTTCATGACAACATTTTTAAAGATTCACAGGTGTATTATAATTTCTATTAAAAATATCAAGAAAGCAAACGTGGGGTTTGAAGAACAATTTTACTTGTGCTATTTTCATCAGTAATTCAAAAATTCAGTATCAACCCCTTTACACACTCACATACACATGTATGCATGTGTTTGTTCATGTGTGTAGGTATATACAGAGATACATATAAACATCTTAAATTACCAATATTTGGAGGTACTTGCAGCATGGAGCTATATGAAGAGAAGGAATTGTACACAAGAATTCTAGTAATGACCACGGCAGAAACAGCAGATAACCTCATGAGAAAGGGACGACAGAAAAATGCTACCTGAGAAAACACGTTAACAGCAACTCAGATACCAGAAACATCTAATCCATTTATATTTTGGGTTATCAACTAAATTGTTCTTTTGAAACACCAGAAAACGCTAGGTGAAAATAATATGGTTGGAGTCACGCATCAGCACGCTGAAAACAGACCATACTCTAAATGCTACATGTTACTCTAGTTTAAGAACTCAGGTAATAGTTTGAAACATGAAGCCTCAAAACTTCAGACATGCCCATACCATAAAAGCCAATCCTCTTCTCTCTCCTGCAAACAATAACAGTTTCACAAACACACTCTATATTGAAATATGTCAAGTCTAGTCCACCATTAGGTCATCACAATATAATCAGGATTTAATCTACAGAAAAATTAAAGAATTGATAAATCTTTTTCACTGTTCCTGCAGGGAACCTTATCAGGAGCATTTTTCTGAAACTATTTGGACTCAAACTAGTTTTTGCACTACTTAAGTTACCATTTCTACTGGGAAGCTGCAAGCAGTTCTGTAGCTGCTATCCAGGTCCAAGTGTAATTGTAGGGACAGAAACAAACCACCAACTAAAGCATTTTGCTGACAGCTCAGTTTCTTATGCAGTGTTAATTTGATCCCTCAGTGCCTATCACCTGTGATACAGCTTTTTACAACATGATCAGAAAGTTATTTCTTCAAGGTACTTAACTTTTCAATGTATGTGAGAGACGAGAGATGGAGCACAGAACTGCAAAAAGACAGATGACAATCTTGCATTTAAGAAAATCTGAAACAGATTTTCAGTATAACAAGGAACAGAATTATCATAATGTATACGTACAACAAGACTACATTAAGGTTAGAACAGGCAACTTCTGGTGCTTAACTCCGCAACTTTAATGTTCTTATTACTTCTGTACATAACTTCAAAAGTACTGTTTAATCTGTCTTGCTCTGCAGTCGCCCAAACTCCCAGGAATATCAACAGGCACTTTGCCACTGAAAGATGGCAGGCTAAACCTCAGTAAGAGAAACACCATTATTAGTAAGCTGTAACACATTACCACCATTTCACACACATATTCAGTTACATGAAAGAAGTTTTAACTAAACATAAATTAAAACACTGATGAAGTATCACAGCAGTAAAATTTAATTCTATATCAATTATTCTTTTTTCAGCATTACCATCAAACACCTTTAGTATTTTAAGTTTTCCACTTTGAAGTATATAGGACCCTTCTATATCTTTTCTTGAAGCACGTAAGTGTGTCACTTCTCATTCCTTAGTTTATGATGCATTTACAAATTATCTTCATATTTTCACAAACACATTTTTAGGGGAATACACTGGAGATGCTTATTCAGTGACATAAATTCAACTCACTGGAAAACATAAAAGATGATTTCTCAAACACTGAATCAGTCCTCAAATATCCTCTTCATAACCTATCTGAAATTACCTGCACCTAACAATACCTACATATATTGTAAAAATGTGCTTTTTAATTACCTTTATCTCTACAAAATCTGATTAAAGGAAATAACAGTTTCATTCAAAACAAGTCAAATTAAAAATTAAAATAATTGTTTAATTCTTTTCATGCTGACGCTGATTCTATTGTATGAAAAAATGCAACTTTAAATTTCAAACTAGCAGATGTTTTTCACAGAATTTTAAATAGCAGCCAACTGACAGAAAAGACAAATACTTTTATTTTTTAAAATAAATGAGTATGATTAAGTGGTGATAAAAGAACTTGTATTCTGAAGTAAACGTAAAAACTTTGGAAGAGTTCTAAAACATAAAAAATAAACTAAACCCAAATTAATTCACGAGTGATTTACGACATTTACTGTTGTAGCAATACACTCAGATATCAGGTAAGAAAATACACAGTATTTTGGGTCGACTATATCATTGCACAAATTCTGCAGTAAAATAATTCCAGGGAGGAAAATATTTATGAGAATTTACAGTACATTCTTTTTGTTTCATACTTCATTCTCCACCATTAGTATTAATTTTAGTTTATTAATTTATTTTTACTAACTTTTATAATTATTATTGTTATTATTAAATATTAAAGGGGTATAATTTAGAGCCAAAAATAAAGGAACATATATAAAGTAATAAAAAGTGAAATATAATTACCATGGTGGTTGGTATTTGCAGGTACATCCCCCAGAGGCAATCAACACCTATAAAAACATACACACTTCTACAGGCCCTGATGCTCACAAGCTAAGTTTCATTTACTAAAGCAGCCATTCAAAGCAATGAGACGAGTGATAGTGCACAGGACCAAGGTTATAACCATGGTCTTTCAAAGAAGTGCCCCCAGTATGGCCATTCACATGCATTTAAATATTATATGTACCAGTGACAGCAAATTTTTGCACTACTTAATTATTTCAATTCATGTTGCTTTCTATCCTCATTAATATATTAATCAATCAGGGACAGAACTAATTGGAAGTTTTGTTTTTGTTTTTGTTTTTTTAATTAAAAAATCCCAACAAAATAAGACTGGTTTTGGAGCAAGATTTTGAGTATTTTACT